TAACGACTTGACAAAGTGCAATGTGCAATTTCATTTATTAGCATCAAATTCATATTTTCCTAAAGTAACTAAGATTGAGAATTTATAAAAACATTTAGTTACTTTATATTTATCATTATACTTATTAATGAGAGAATTAATGTCATATCCTACCCGTTCGGCTAACGACCCTCCACCACTCAAGGAAGCGGTGGGTGAGAGTGGACACCCATTCAACCGCTATTTTATAGGCAGTTTCCTTATACCCCCCCTTATAGATCGGCTTCGTGAATGAGGCCTACTAACGGTAATACTGACTCATCTTATACATATATATAAATTAAACTTTTAATATTATAATAGTATAAGGGTGTATTTTAAACTTTTAATACAATAGGGTTTTAGAATTTAATATTTCAAAATTAACCTTTTAATGAAGGGAAATCTCCAGAAAAGTCCTAAAATTTTACCCTAATTTACGAAAAAGTCCCAAACTAAATTTTGTTTTCGAAAAAGCATGAATTACCGGTAAAAATGGCGATTTGACCCCTTTTTTCCGGTTTACCGGTTTTATTACTTACATGTTTCACTAAAGTCTCATTATTTTACCCTAATTTGCGAATAAGTCCCAAAATAAAATTTACTGATGATTTGACCCTTTTCTCTATGTAACATACATTTTACCGGTTTCATTGCTGACCCGGACGCCTAGTCATTAAATAAGATGATGAGATGGATATGCTATAATGTTATGTTTAGCATAAAATTTGATATCCTTATGTATTGTATATCTTTTTGGAACATAAAATGCATCCAACGAAGACTACAATAATTACATAAATTAACAACAACTGCGTTATTTTTTACGTTTATAAGAAATATCATATTGTCTAATCTAATCTTATGTAACCCAATATATCCATCTCATCAGACATCAACTCATTTTCTGTCATTTTTTCTTGGAAACACACATTTTATTGGTTTCATTGCTGACATAGATACATAGTCATAAATGAGCCGATGAGATGGGTATCAAATTTTACAGTAAATGTGACATTATATAACCCATCGTATTAATCTTATCAGCTAATTTAATGACTAGGTGTCTAAGTCAGCAATGAAACCGATAAAATGTATGTTACATGAAGAAAATGGTCAAATCATCAGTAAATTTTATTTTGAGATTTATTCGCAAATTAGGGTAAAATAATAGGACTTTAGTGAAACATGTAAGTAATAAAACCGGTAAACCGGAAAAAATGGGTCAAATCGCCATTTTTACCGGTAATTCATGTTTTTTCGTAAACAAATTTTAGTTTGGGACTTTTTTCGTAAATTAGGGTAAATTTTTAGGACTTTTCTGGAGATTTCCCTTTAATTAAATTTTAAATTTCAAAACTTAAGGGGTGTAATTTGAAACTTTCAAAATTACTAGATCAAATTTTAAATAATTAAATTAATCACATGATTTTGTCATTATCTCAAAATTTGACCAAATCCATCTATTTTGATAAGGAAATCACATTACCATTCAGTAAATTCAATTTAAAGTGATAAAAACGAATTATGGTAATTATCCTAATCCAAAATAGATAAAAAAAACTTGAAAAATCAGCTAACAGATGATCCAACTCGTCGAGTCAGGGCATGGACTCGTCGAGTTTGTTAAACAGAAAATGAATTTTATTTTGCATTCGATTTGGACAGATCACAATTTCATCAAATATAATAGAAAAACATCATAGACTCTGATACCACTGATGGGTTTTGAGCATAACAACATTCCTATGTGATCATGCAACCCTAATTGCTTTGGATCTAAGCTTTTCTCTAGTTATACATGCAAATAGAAATTCCAAAGCAACAACCCTAATACTAGCATACAATTCGAAATCCATATGAAAACTAGGGTTAGAAGAATACATTGCTTGTTGTCTAGTAATAACAAGAGTTTCTTTGGATGATCTTGACTCTTGAAAGCTTTAGTGCCTCAAGTGTTGCACCTCTAATGGAGTCACAAACACCAGTAGCAAAGGATGAAGGAGAGAGATGATGAAGCACTACAATTTTCGGCTAGGGTTCTCTTAGAGAGCAAGTGGCCAAAATTCATATGCTAAGGGTCTTTATATAGCTAAGGCTGCTAGGGTTTTCAGGTGGAAACCCTAGTTTCCTTGCTTAGGCCTTAAGCAGTCCATGGACCTCCACATTAGAAGCCTTGGACAAAATCCGATAGGGCTCCTATAGATTTCGTCCACTCCCTTCTAGAGGAGTCCATCAGCCTAACTCTGCAACTATCATTGATTTACATAACCAGCCCCCATTCTTTTAATTAGTTCCTTTAATCCCAAAATTAATTTCTGATTAATACTAATTAAATAATATGATTTATAATTAATATATTATTCTTATAATATATTAATAAATCATTAATTAACCTCTTTCTCCAAAAGTCATCCTATCAAGTTGTTATGGTGAAGGCAACCCAAAAGGATCATGCTACTATCGAATCAAGTACATAGCAATTATAGTTATGGGCTTAGACACCTAATCCAACACTATGCATGTATTATTCCTTCGTTCGGATTACCTACCTATTATTGTTTTCGTTCCGACTATCTTTGCGTTGTTTTTTTTCGATCGGATTATGTCATGTTATTTTTTTCATTCAGACTATCCATTTGTTACTTTTTCATACAGACTTTTTGTGTTATTCTTTTGTTCCGACTATCTCTATATTATTTTTCTGTGTGGACTAATCACATGTTTTTTTTCATTCGGACTATCATTGTGTTATTTTTTTCGTTCCGACTATCATTTTCGGAATAAAAATATAATACAGGGATAGACGGGACGAGAAAATAACACAGAGATAGTACGAACAAAAAAATAATAACATAGGAATAATTCGACTGTAAAAAAATAATTAAATGATAGTTCGAACAAAAAAAATAACCCAATACTAGTACGGACAAAAAAAACACATGGATAATCCAGACGAAAAAAATAACATATTGATAGTCCGAACGAAAAAAATAACATAATGATAGTTCAAACAAAAAATAAAAATACAACTATATATAAAATAATGTGTTTATAAAACACAAATAATTAAAAAAAATAACATTATTATTATTATTATTATTATTATTATTATCATCATCTAATAATAATAAAAAAACAAAACACAACAAAAGACAAAAGACATTAAAAAAAATTAAAAAAAAAATAAAAATAAAAATAAAAATGACAAAAGACAAAAGACAAAAACATGAAATCAAAATAGGTTAGTTTAAGTAAGGAGGGTTTGTATTTAACTCAAATCAGAGATATGTAAATCAACACCCTTAATATTTTAGCAAAATGCAGAAAAAACACAATCATTTATCTATCAACATTTAGAAAAACCTTATATTTTCTTTAAATCCAGAAAACAATTATATTTTCAGTTAACTGAAAATATAAATATTTTTCTACATATAAATAAAATATAAAGATTTTTCTGAATGATGATAAATAAATGCTTATGTTTTTATGTTTTTATGTAGTTTGTCCTTGATATTTACATATGACCATGTTGTTCAATCAAGTTTGTAACAAATTAGACTTTTTATTGATTTATATATTTACCAACATAGTTGCATAACTTCTATCACAAATTATTTGTTGAATAAATTAATAAGAAAAAAAGGTTACATAAATATATATTTAATCCTATAAATAATATTTTATAATTAGTCTATATTAGGTTATCCTTCCCTTAGTATAAGCAAGTATTGTGTCTCTTCCCATTTGTGATCAAAAGAAGCATATTGGATTCGTGGTTTATAAAGAATGTTGTAAAACATATGGTTATTGTTTTATCAGTAAGCAAGCATTTAAATATATTTTTCTATATATTATTGATCTTTGAGATTTCAGAAAAGAAAAATGAGGATTTCATTAATAAAATATACTTTGAAAATTTTACCAAATTATAATATCGTCTAAATAGAAAGTACAGTATCATGATAAGATAAATTTTAAAAATAGAATTTTCGATCATAATTGTGTACATTTTTCAAAATAAAACATCCTATAAATATATTGTCTTAGTTGGATAGAGTTAGCAAATTACATCATGAAAATACTATCAAAATGTAACAGTGTTGTCCAAATCCAATATACAATTTCCTAATAAGAACAACTTTGAAAAAACAACTATCAAATTATGATTTATATAGTCTATATTTTAAAATTTTTTATTATAGAAAACATCATGTATTAAATTAATATTTTACAACAAATATTTTATATAAAAAGTAACAAAAAAAAAAGATGGAGCATGGGTGAGGTAAAGGCTAGGGACGGCCGGACGGGTGTGCATATGGGCTAAAGAAAAAGAAAGTTGGGTCATGACTCATGACTATTCTATTTCTATATTAACTGGATCATGATAAACTTATTTAAAACTAAATAGCCTATGTATAAAATCAAGTTTATATACTTAATTGATCAAATCATAATTTACATATGTAATTGATTAAATGATTAAACCATTTATTGATGAATGAGTCTAACCTCCTGATCATTAAGAGAATATAAAGGTTTTCTTGAAAAAATTGTATTAAGCGTGCTGAATGTTGTCCGATTAAGAATCATTAAGTAGTTACCAAACAACCCTTTAGTTGGATCACAAAGGAAATCATTATATAACGAGGGATTTTAAATGAACAGCCAATGATAAAACATGTGTGTATGCACATGTCCATACACATGTGCTATCATTGGGATTTTTTCTGGTAACAACATTATGTCCTATGTGATTCCACAAAAATATTACTTATTGATAGATCTCATATCTCTATGTATCTTGTAATTTGTGACTAAAGGCCTCATAAATCTATGCATCTTGTCAACTAGTCATATGACTACAAATCTAACATCTATAGTTTCTCTTCACACAGATATGCAATGATAGTATATCTCAATGCATGATGTACAAGTCATCAATGCATAAGAAACAAGAGATGATGGGTTAAACCTTACTTGATCCCAATAGACATCATTGACTTAAATTCTTCAAAGTCAACAAACCCATCTCCATCTTTATCAACACTTTGAATCATTTTTCTACATTGTCCAAGCTTCGAATTGCTACATCCAAGATTAATGAGCACCCTTTGTAACTCCTTTGCAGAAATGAGTCCATTCTTATCACTATCAAACACCATGAAAGCATTTCTAACATCATCATTAACATCAATATTATCTTCCTTTGAAATAGGAAAATTTGGCTTGGAAATGGAATCATCCATGATGGCCATGAACTCATCCAAGTCAATGAACCCATCTCCATTAAAGTCAATTTCTTTGAGTATTCCTTGGGCTTCAATGGTGGCCTTTGACTTATCTTGACCAAAAATCAACAACACATTTGTGAGCTCCATCTGAGAAATCTTGCCATCGTTGTTGAGGTCAAAGAATTTGAAGACTTGCTTGAATTGATTTGAGACGTCCATGGTGAGATCAAAAGCACATGATGTCTTTGGAGGTTTGCTTTTGAAGTTTTTGTTGACTATCTTGACGAGATTTCTTATGTGGGTTTGCAAAGAATTAGGCATTGGAGATGATACTAGAAAAAAAGAGAGAAATTGAAATGGTTATCAACAAAGTCTGGAGATATTAGTACGAAATAAGGGAAAATGGCATACGATGTTTTCATATACTTCAGGAGGGTCCACATGATAATTGTTTACTTTGTATCTCACGTTACCATTTTAATATTTTTTATTTTTATGATAAAGAATTAAAATGCAATTATATGTCGTGTGACATTATGTGAAAAGGATCTAGAAACCTACAATACGAACAGTAGGAGAAAAAAATGTAAACGAATTGACTAAGTTGATTTTATTTAATTATATACGCGAAACATTGAAATTTTTATGGTCGTCGAAGAAAAAGAATTTGTTATGACTTTTATGGAGTGAAGTAGGTGATACCGTGATAGGCTTTTTCCCAATACAATGGTATCCAATTCCTTTTATTCCTTTCAAAAACACTTTTTTCCAAATCAAATTTATTTTCCAAGAACCTTTTTATAAAAAGTAAAAACAAGAATGTGATTTTCGATATCACTCATTCACTCGAAAAAAAAATAATAATAAACAGCATCACCAACGGTCCTATTACACCGTATTCTAAAAACAATGATAAGCAAGATTACATTGTTTTTAGATGATACAAACTTGGACTCAAAATATAAAATTGAAATACTCAAGTGACTTACCTTAATAATGTCTTCTCTACTTAGATGTTGGATGAATATGCACTACGTATAGTAGTATAGTTGTCCATATATCAATTGATTCGTGAATGGTGATGAAATACTATATAACGAAGTTGGGTGCTTATCCCAATACCAACAAGATAGGAAAGGGAGAAAGGCAAGTTGAAGGAAGGTGCCGGCACCCCATTGAATATTCATCAACTTGACTTGATAGTTGATACTCCTTTTTGTTGGTTTATGAACCAAGATATGGTCTCCCAATTGCCGAATGAATCGAAGATTCATTCAACTTCTATTATACAAATAATACAAATCCTAATAAATGCAAATACATTTTTTGTAAAATATATATTTGATGACTCTTACTAAGTGGTAAGGAAAAGGCCACATCATAGAATGTATTCACCCATGCCTGGAAAAGTGCAACACATGATACATATATGCTTGACAAACGGGATCGGCCCAACACTAGGGGGCAACTTTGACAATGTCCAATGTATCTAAGGGCCAATATTTAAATATCATATTCTAATTGTCTGATACGTTGAAGCCTGAAGGCTTGAGGCGTCAATCAAATTGAGGAAAAAAATAGAGGCAAAAAGTGGAGAAGACTAAGGCAGTAAGGTGGTGTTTGTTTTTGGTTTATAAGCTTTTTTTTATTTCTTCTAAACTCTTATGTTTGTGGACAAACAAATGTTTTAGTTAGCATATTGTTTGTTTTTTAGAAAACTGCAGACGTCCTCTTCTCCAAGAAGAAATAGTCCATTGTTTTTGAAAACTCGCAGAAATTTTCCGGAAAAAAAAAAAAAAAAAAAAAAGTTGATTTTCTTGTACTTAAGTAAAAGTTTGAAGCAAAGGTAAACCCAATATAAATTTGATTCATAGAGCCCCATTTTTTAAGGGACCAGCCACTAAGTTCTTATTCAAATGAGAGAGACTAGCATATTTATAATTAATTTGTTAGAAATAAACTTATAAAAACAAGGGTGCGTTTGGTTATGGAAAAATGTTTTTTTTAGAAAACATTTTCAAAAGTTAGAGTTAAGTTTTCAATGAAAATTTTATAAAAACACATTTGGTTGAAACCAATGGAGTTTTCACTTCCCATTTTAGAAATCTTGAAAGTTTTGGAAAACTATAAAAATCATTTTTCTAATTTACATACAATTTAAAATTGGAACTTTTTTAAAATTGAACCAACAAAACACGTTTTCAAAATTTTCATTTTCATTTGAAAATTGTAATGAAAAACTAGAAAAAATTTCACAACCAAATACATTTTAAGTGACGAACGTGATTCTTTAGCCAATTGGTCCTCTCCGCAAGGGTTGTTGATTTTGCTAAGCAACATTGATATCATCATAGCTAACAAAACAAGCAGGTGACTTATAGTTATCTTTCTTCTATATCGCTAATCTTTGTTTATCGCAATCTCGCTTCTCGGTTCTTAGAATCTCAACACATAATACTTAAAAATGAACAAACAATAGTTGAGATTTTAGAAATATTTCATATTTTTCTCTTGTAGACATAAATTTGGTTTTGATTTGAGTGATGCCGGCCCTGTTTCTTCTCATTAATATCAACTCATTTCTCAGTCACGATACACAAAATTCATTGTAAGATCATCCACATCAATGCAAGATCATTAACCTTTCAAATGAGCTACATCAGCTTTTGCAATTAACATTCACATCAATACAATAACAATCATCTTTCAAAATGGACCCTATTACCACATCAACAACCAATTTACAATTTTTCAATATATATATATATATATATATATATATATATATATATATATATATATATATATATATAAGTTTTTCGTATAATTTAAAATCAATTAAAATTTAATTCAATAAAAAATAATTTTTACATATTTTCTTATATATTAAATATATAAATATAATTAGTTTCAGTTTAAATAAACAAATAATTAGCATACATGTTTTGTATAGATTATGTACCTGCACAAATTGATATTTAATCCATTAAAAACTAAAGTATGTGTTTAATTTATATATATTATTAACTACTAAAGAAATAAAAAATAAATAAATAAATAAAACAAGAATTGGTATAATGATGAGTTGACATCTTTGAAAGGGTTTTCTTGTGTTGAAAGATGATTGCTTATGTGGCTTCAAATTTTCTTTGCAATGGGTTTGAAAGCCCCGATATAGATGGTCTAAGCTAGGAGTTCATTGTTTATTTTCCTTGTTTTATGTCACTTTCTTCACTCTCGATTTTTATAAAAGTTAATTGGGAAATTAAATATTCTCTTATATTTTTTTCTAACACATCCTCATACCCATCAACCTCATACCCATGTTAAATAGTGACATGTGTCACATAAGTGTATTAAAATATTATTATTTTTATTAAATATGATACATGTCATCATTTAAGATGTATAGAAGGATATGTAGAAAGAAAATATAGGAGGATATTTAATTTCTCAAGTTAATTTATGTTTTTTGTTATATGTTAACTTAAGTTTTCTATTATGTTGTTTATATATGTAGGTAAGTTGAAAGAGAAGTAAAATTGTTTATATTAGTGGAAACTTCAAGTCTACAAAGAGAAACAAAATTCAGAAGTCAACAGAATCGACCATTTGAAATCATGTGTTTTCGTTTTATTACTTGCTTTTTTTATCATCATTGTTTGATTTAAGATTTAACTAAGCCTTAGAAACCTCAAGTAATTGTAACTTTTACTGTTAATTTTTAGCTATTTGCCTACAACTTGCGTCTTATTTTTTGTTTTTGCTCCGGTCCTCAAATTAGTTTGGACAGACTCTGTTGACAAAGAAATGTGATAACATGAATTTTTTTGATAAATCTTCACACAATTTTCTAGTTTTTGCAAAGGTAGGTGTTCGTGAGTAATCTTGATTTCATACTATTAAAAAATAATTTTGACGGCTACATGTGAACTCCAAAATATATAGAGTTCAAACTTCCAAGTCTAAGTTGGATTTTTTGGTCGATGATAAATTAATTAATAATAAAACTTGTCTAGGATCTGTTGTTTTTCTTTGGGTAAATTGTATTTTTTGCGGTTAGTAGAATTTCATTTATTAGTTCGGATATTTTGGGCCTTTTATTATTTTATGTACGTCTCTATCTACGGACTACGCCCGTCCATAAGAAAATGGGTGAGGGGTGGGGCCGATCGTTTGAAGGGAGGGGTTCTATGGGGCCCTCTAATATCAATGATAACATAAAGTTATAAATATACGAATAGATAATGAAAAAATCATGTAAGGACCCAAACCAAAATAAATTGCATACGACAAACAAGGACAGTTTTTGCAGTTTATTCTAATAATAATTAATTAATTGTCATGTGTACAATCAAATGGTTACCTGAATCCAAGTCAAAGAACATCGCCAAAACCCAGATCTGACTTCCAAGATAAGAGTTAAATACTTAAATATCATCAGTGAAGAACATGCCTAGCAATTAGCAATCAAAAGCACAAATTAATACCACCAAACCAATAAAAAAACATACATGTAGAAAATAATCCATACCTATAATATGCGTAATAAAACCACTTGATTTTTCCTGCTAATGCCACAAACTGTTTGCCAATTTACCTACAAAAGAGCACTACAAAACCAAATCCTAGAAGAAAAAAAAAACAAAAAAGATGCACTTTTTGTTACATAAAATCAATCTATTTAAAGCTAAAACGTTTAACAGTTGCTAAAATACAACAAAACTCCTACTGATCCTATGAAGAACCAATCGAAAAAGCTTCCCTAACTCTCACAATATGAACAATATTTCCAACGGAAAAAGAATATAGGATAGTGTGTGTGAGTGTGTCAACATAATCTCAACAAAACAGGACCCACAGAAGATGTAAGCATTTCACTAAGTGCCACCTGGACCTCACTAGACCCATGCTCGCAACTTATCAGACTGGAAATCAAAGGAAAAAAGAGAGACAAATTCTTCTCAAATGACAAATCTCCCAAACTACAAATACCCTGTAGAGTTGTAACAACAAGAGGTGCACGTGCAGCCAGTTCTCTCTTTCTCCCGGATCCCAATGGTATAAACCAGTGGGCCCCGGTAGTAGTTGACTCAGTCAAACGTGCTATTTTGATATAGAATTTCAAGACTTCTTGACAAAGGTCAACGAGTTGGGATTCTGCTTTGGATTCGTGGTAAAATGGAGGTTGGTCGATTGCAAGGTTTTGTAGAAATGTG